AAAGTCACTGCCCTTGAACAAAATTCCTGGTGTAGAACGGAGAATGCAGTTACCTGTCATAAAAACACCCTTGCAGTTAAATTCGAAAAACTTCTTTTACAGTCTTCCAGTTCAAGTAGTTCAAAAAATCTTCCCACTGTAAACATTACGCCAATAATTAATATTTCTAATGTTAGTTTATCAGAAGAACAAGAGAGAATTCTAAAATATAATTTTAACTTCTCACAAACCTCTAAACCCTTGATTCCAAAGATTTTCGCTCCTAATGAAAAAGCTTTCAAGTTCAGTAAAGTTTCATATTCACAGAAAGAAATGATTAGGCATCTTATCGCTCATAATGTGAAATTCAATAATAAACCTTTGAAACCAAATCTAACCACGAGAGAAAGAGCTACAATGCGCGAAATTTATTCTAACCTGAATATTATTATTTCAAAGGCCGACAAAAGTGGCCAGATAGTCATCATGTATAAGAACACTTAAATTGATGGTGTCACTAAACTCTTAAACGAAGGACCATATAATCCGATCCCTAAAGATCCTTCCCTTTCGGACCTGTCAAAAATAAAAACTGCGATCAAATCTTCACAAATCCTTTCCAGTAACTTAAAACATTCACTTATCCCGCCTGTTACGAATTGAGCCACATTATATGCTCTTCCCAAAATTCATAAAAGTGGTATTCCTTTCTGCCCTATTGCATCAAATTTAGGTACTGCCTTGTATCTGTTAGTTAAATATTTAGTTTCTATCAAATCAAACCATCAGTCAAACTTATTTAGTTTCTATATTTTCAACTCTATTAGACAATAACATTTACACCATAAAAAATTCAATAGAATTTGTGAAAAAGGTTAAAAACATTTTTAGAAATTTAATCACGGTTTCTTTCGATGTAAAATCATTATTCACCAATGTTGCAGTGGAGGGTGCATTAAGATGTCTAGAAACCAGACTTCGCGAATTTCATTTCTCTTGCATCGAAATTGATGAGCTAATTTCTCTCACTCAACTCTGTTTGAAACAAACACATTTTGTGTTTCAAAAAAAAAAAAAATATATTATAATATTAAAAGCAAACTGAGAGATTAGCCATGTGAAGCCCCCTCAGTCCCATCTTGGCTGATATCTACATGCATTATTATAAATCAAAATTGTTTGAAATTGTTTGAAACTTCCCGGTATGGTTCCGCTATGCAGATGATACTTTTACCCTGTTTGAATGTAATAAAGATGATTTAAATAAAGTTCTTTCAACAATGAATTCCATTGATCCTGGTATTCAGTTCACTTTTGAGCTTGAGACTTGCAATTCTCTTCCGTTTCTCGACATTCTGGTCACACGTAACACATCCAACTTCAGTACTACGGTTTACCGTAAACCTTCATCGGTTTGCCTTCCACCACACTTTAAATCATGTCATCCGACTAAGCAAAAGTTAGCTTCATTTTATTTCTATGTTTTCCGTGCTCTTCAAGTTTGCTCCTCCAAACTAGCCCTTGATGAAGAACTAAATTATTTAAAAGCAATAGCAGTTGACAGGGGCTTTCCACCCAACATTATTAATCAAGCAGTTAAAAAATTCTCATCTCAACACACTAAAAGGCACACTCTTGTTTTAGGAGATTATAAAAATTCTGTTGTCATTCCCTTCTTTCCATCAATTAGCTATAAAGTTGCACATATTTTGCAGAAATTTAACATTTGGGTCATTTATTCTCCCATCAATAAAATTCCGAGTTCCATACTCAAGGACCCCATTCCGGATATGAATTTCTGGAGTATTTACAGGATTCCTTGCTATTGTGGTTTAATTTACATTGGCCAAACTAAGAGAGCCTTAAATTTTCGTGTTAAGGAACATGAGGTATATGTTAGAAAAAAGGAAACACAGAAGTCTTCTGTTGCTCAACATTGTTGGTCCAAAAATCACACTTTCAATTTTTCTGCTGCCAAAATTATTCAAAAAACATCTTCCATTGGTGAACTGGATTTTCTAGAAGATTTTCACATTAAAAAAATCTTTCTGTTCTAGTTAATGACCCTAATTCCAATCCATCTTTGCCTTCAGCCTTTAAAGAAATTATGTTTTAGTTGTGGTTTCATCAACAGATGGTGCCAGTAGCTTATCTCCTGTCCAGGTTTTCTTATCTTGTCTCATCATTATATCTTATCTCATTCATTTGCGCTTTTGCAGCTGAGGGTGATGGTTTGGTAAAACTATCGAAACTAGTCCTGTGAAAATTTGAAAATATAATGCTGATTTTTGTTGTTTGACTTCTAAATAAATATTTGTTCAGCGTGTTATTGTATCTTAAGAATGTACATGTCAGCATTTCTCAAATGGTGTTCTGGGAAGTTCTAGCGCTTAAAAACGTTTTTGAATACTAAATGTGAAAAATGTTTCAGTTACATTTCAGTACAGTTGTTAAGTTTAGCAGGAAAGATAAAATTACAGCTGAACTGATTTCACTGCACGCCTTGTGTAAACTGTCTGTCTGTAATTAGAACAGTCTGTTTCAGAACCAACATATTACATACTGACAGCATACTGTATACGGTTGTCTGCACTTTCATCCAAAAATCTTAATGCTAATTTACAAGTATGGACATTACACGGGTCATATACTTCCTAAATTCAGTAACTTGCTCTTATTCTATCATGAGGAATGCATGATATCTATTGACGACCAAAATATGCATAAATAAAGACAAATGAAAGTACTATTATTTAAATGCTTTACATAGGAAATTCAAAATTCCTGCATACATATTATGCAAAGCCTAAATTCAGTCAGTGCATGTCTCTGCTACTTCTAGTTTTTGAGTAAAGTTGTAATTCCAGCCAAAGTCCCAAAATAAGACTTTTCCAAAGAAAACATATAATAATAAATATAAGAAAGATAATAAATATCTTGCATTATTTTTATGAATAAATATCATTATTAATTAGATTTACAAATAAATTTATATGATTTTTCAATACTTTAAAGTGCCAAATCTACTAGAACTGTAAAAATAGTCAGACAATTGATCACCCCTTTTAACTATGAGTATACCAATTCAAAGTGAAGGTTTAAAATAAGAACTATTTATCAACACATGAATCGAATTATATAATCTTAAGTGTGACAGAAATAAATGTGGCTGCTTTTGGGTAACTCAGAACACACATTCAAGTGAAACTGAACGTAAAATACAATTTCAGCACACCCTGTTACAATCTGGTTCAGCCCAGAACTTAACCTTTTGGGGATAGAATGGCCATTATATTGGCCTTGGTATTCCCTGTTTGAAAGGATGTTGATATACACTTTATTGGTCATGTCTTTTCCCCCTGTTTTCCCACACTCAAAAGGTGGGGTAAACTGTCAAGTTTGATGTTTTGGGGGTCCTAACCACTTGTCTCTTTCAAACGTCTTTGTGTGTTAAGGATCCAGTTTTCCCTATAATTCTTTTTTTTTTTTTTTTTTTTTTTTTTTGTTGAAACATTTTGCAAAAACAAATTTGCAAAATGAAATTTACAAACAATGTATATTACAAGCCATACTTGAACTAAACACTGCATATTTTAAAATTGTCTGTTTTCACTCTTAAGCATTATGCTGTCATACAAATTTTTAATATTTATTTAGACATCAAATTTTTATTTTTCCGCAATTTAAATTTTAACATTTCCATATAGTTTAAGTTTTTAACCATTTATGTAGCAACGATCTTTTATTTTTTTAACTATTCCTTTCATGGAGAAAAATTTTAAAGAGTTTGGATTATTTCAATAAAATATACTGCAAAACAAATTAAAAGCACAAGGAAAGATGACAGTAAATAACATTTGTGTTTACTACAACATTTGCATGATGTTTCTTTGTTTATGAAGCCATGCATGTTTGTAAATTTAAGAAAATATGCTCATGAAATACATGAAATTTTTAGATGCATTAAAAATTAGGTGGAGACCTGACAAAAAAAAAAAAAAAAAAAAAAAAAAAAAAAAAAAAAAACTAAAAATATCTATAAAATAACAGATATGGAAGAATTTTATAACATAATTTCAAAACATAATAGAATAATTACAATAAACATAATAGAATTAATTTTTGTTATCACTTTATAATTGGTCACTGAAAAACCATGACTTAAAATCTCATACACTTTTTTTTTTTTAATAAAAGGTATGGGCTGGAGAAATATAATCACATTTTCTATCTTGTATACATATATATACATATATACATACCCTTCAGTGTATCACTGAGTAGTCTGATTTGGAATCAATTGCACCTTTTAATTTTCCCTTCATAAGTAAAGGTATCTAAACAAATTAGACATGAATTCCTACAGTTCCCTTTCTTTTTCACTTGAAAGCCTCTCTTTCAGGATGAATCAAACTACCTAAAAGTGCCATTGTTGACAACAGCAAGGGCCTTCTTAAAAGTAGGGAAAGCATAAGATACAAATAAATATCTTTTTAAGGATCTTACAGGAGTCAAGTTCCCGACTTCAAACGGTTAAAACCAATACCTTCAATTAAAGCAGCAAGGAAGTAGAATGATGGTCAACCTATGCTGCCAAAAGCTCATTCTGAGCTCAAGAAGACTGTGCTTACGTATATTTTACCCAATCTGCATTCTGATAGTAGTTGAAAATTACAGAAGTGAAACTGCAGACAAACTAATATGATAATTAGCATAAAACCTTATAACCTTGCATGTTTTGAAATGGTTTTTAGTTTATAGCATATGAATATTAAATAATAGCTGAATAAAATTTTTTTTTCAATGACATTAAAAACCCTCATCAGCAGAAATAAGGCAGATTTAAAATAATGATATGTATTATTCTTTTTTAATAGTAGAACTTACAATAAGAAATTTTTTTGGTACTCCTGTAAACATAGAAATAAAATATTTTCATATGGGAAATGTCATTAAATCATGTTAAATAAGATAATAATGCAGCCTGGTGGCAATTATTGCAATCATTATTGGATACGTACCTCTAGCACCTCTGTAATAAGATGAAGCAATGCACTTAAATTTTTCTTGTCCAGCAGTATCCCATCTAAAATCATAAATACATAAATCCAAATTAGATGCATGCATTTAATATGAAATAGAAAAGCTTCCATTTGTAAGCAAGTTATTAATATATGTTATTATTGTATGCATTATCTATTTTGATTTCTAAATTGAATAAGCAGAAAATAATTTATAAGGTTCAACATACTTTAGTTAGATTTTCAAGTATAAAAAATTAATTAATATCAAATGAAGTCAGACACTTTATATTAATTGCAATGCTAAAAAAATTAGTTATAGTTCTCAATTTGTACATACAAAAATTTCAGCAATGCTCAGTTAAAGTAGAACATAAAATTTTGTTTAAATCTAGCAATTAACAATCATTTCTTTTCTCGACCAAAAAATTAACAACTTACATTTGTAAAATATATGGCACATCTAATATGTAAAATTTTTCTGCTGCAAAATCTACACCAATTGTTGCCTTATAACTTGTATCAAATGCTTGTAAACAAAACCTAAAAATTTAAGAATATGTTATACATTAATATATTAACAAAATATGCACCTTTCATGCTCAAACAATGTGGATGTGAAATGTGAATGCCACAATTTATGAAGACTTTTTCAATAGATGTACTGGAAATTTGAAATAGTTTGAAAATTTCTCAAAATTTTACAGCTTAAATATTTAAATATGAGAAAAGTTCACAAAAAAGGAGGGATACACAGTTAATGCATGAAATATTTACAGATGTTAATCTCTTTTATAATATCTTAGAATGATATATGCATAAATATATAATAAAATGTTTCCTTTTTGGCATTTAATGTTAAAAATGTGCAGTACAACTATAATGTTTTACATCATAAATGATAATATTGATGCAGATACAGACAAAGAGGAGATACATCTTTTAAACACACTAACGAATAAAATAAAGATCTAAATTAAGTTTAGGTATTCTAAACTGCATTACTATGAAATGTTTTTTCTCTTTAATATCATTTCAACAGCATTTTAGATGTTAATATTGTTACGAAATGTACAGGCGCGGTAAGATGGCTTCCCCGCAAAGCAGTTTTAGTTTTGCTATTGAGGGCAAAGTTGCCATAGTTGGCAACAAAATTGGCGATATACAATGGACGGTTGGAGAACCTCCTGGAACGAATTCTTACCGGTTTAGCCCAGAATGTTCTTGAAATCAAGCCAAAAGTTATATAAACCCTACTGGTCCGCAGTCAGTTAGTGTATGTCTCTCATCGAGTGTGTGTGTCTTCTCTAGCGAGTCAGTCCGTGTGGAGTCGATCAAGTTGACAGCCAGGCAGCGAGTGCCGAGTGGGTCCTCGAGTGCACCAAAGGAGACTATTAGTGTATCGTGGTTAGTGCACCGTCGAGAGAGCGTGTTGAGCTCTGGGAACGACTGAACCAAAGAGTCGGGAGCTGTGCTCATGTGTCATCGAGTGCATCGTGAGTTGTAGCGTGGAGAGTATCAAGAATACGTGGAGTTCCGAGAACGACCAAGCAGAGTCGGGAGCTGTACTCCGGAAAGCAGAGTCGGGTGCTTTGCAGAAGCTATCTCCACAGTTATTGCCTGACAGTGTTAAGGCTGTGTCACTGATTGTTCCAACGTGTTTATAGTAGATCTCCAACGACTATAAAAAGTGTTATTAGAGCTGCCCTGATTAACATTGGCTAAATAAAGTGTGTTTCGATACTTCATTAAGTGTCGTCGTTATTCACTCCAAATCCACGAAGCCCGTATGAACGTGAATGAAGAAAATAATGCAACAACTGGTGTCAGAAAAGGAAAAACATAACAACTGGTGTCAGAAGTGGGATTCGCGAGTGAATGCCAGTGAACCACCTGTAGAGGAAAGCCATGGCGGAGGAGATGAAGACTTTGATGGACTTCTTAGCCGAGATCATAGTTGGACAGACGGGCAGCGAGTGCCGAGTGGGTCATCGAGTGCACCGAAGGAGTCTCTTAGTGTCTTAGCTGAGATCATAGCCGGACAGAAGGAGTTGAAAGCGGGATATGCTGAGATAAAAGCCGGATAAGCTGAGATAAAAGCTGGATGTGCTGAGATAAATGCCGGATATGATGACATAAAAGCTGGATATGAAGAGATGACAGCTGATATGAAAGCTGGACGAGAAGAGATGAAAGCCGGTGGAGAACAGGTGCGAGAGCAACTCCAACAGCTGAAAGTGGAACTTGCAGAAGAAACTGGAGGCATAAAAGACGATGTGGAAATGAGACAAGTGGCATCTGAAGAATCAAAGGATGAAGAAATGAAGGAAGTAGCTAATGAACTGTCTGAGAAGGATCCAGAAATGAAGGATGAAATATTTAACGAGATTAACCGCTTGCCTGATTATCCCGAGTTATCTCGGGTTCGTATATATTGCAGTTAATTATTATCCCGAGAAAACTCGGGCGAAGCAGAATTTGTTAGTATGATTTCTTTTATCATGGTTTTACTCAGTCTGGAGGAAATGAAAGGAAATATTCAGCTTTGATTGGCAGTTTGCCAAATTTTGTTAGTAGTGTGGTTTTTTTGGAGGGACTGCTCGCGTGTTTCCCTACTGTATAGTATACGTTGGCTTGTGGATTAGTAATGTATAAAGAAGGATGCATGCGTTGGAAAAAAATAAAATAATGGCGATGATGGAAGATAGCGAAAGCGATGATTTTTCAGACAGTGATTATGAAAAAGTGGTGGAAAAAATAAAAAAATAAAATAAATAAAATCCAACGAGACAGTGTACTCTGTGCTCCCGTGAATGAGATTCCAGCGGTAAGCCAGTAAGAAAAGAGACCAGATACCAGTGTAGAACGTCAGGTATCACTCTGAGTTGTCCCTTGTTTCAAAAACTATCATACAAAGATTAATATTTAACTTTTTTTCGTTTGCCCGAGATAACTCGGAATACTAAACTTTAAAAATAAATGCTTTTGCACCTTCAAAAAATTAAAAATTCAACTTAAAATCTACATATTTTGATTTATTTCGTTTTGTTGTATTTAATAATAAAGTAAAAAAATGTGATGATTTTTTGCAATTTTTTTCAAAAAAATTTGTAAGGGAAGCAGTTAAAGACAGATCGAAAACATGAAGAAATACAAGATGGGAAAGAAGCTTTTGATTCACGAGTGCCTGAAGTGGAAGAAAGTGAAAATGCGACTGTTAAGTTCGTCAAAACTGATAGTGAAGTTACGAAGTCGCAGGGAGTAACTGTTGAACCATCTGAAAGTGCATGTGATGCAGAGATGGAAGATGCTGAAGTGCAGCTTAAGCAGTGCACTCCAGTATTGCAAGAAAATTCACCCACTTCACAAACTGGGTGTGTGCCTCATAGTGCAGATTTTGCAGACAAGGACTTGATTCTAAACCCGGATACTTCTGCTTGTAAAGGATCAGATTCTATTCATGACCTTGGTGCAAACATCGGAACTGGTTTTCAGGAAATAGAGGTAAATAAGCATGTACCATCTGCTAATGATACCGAGGTGAACTATACGCATGCTGCGAATGATCTACAGAGTGGTGTACGAATTGACGAATTGTTCTAGATTTTCCTGTGGATGAAAAGCCTGAAAGAACTTAATCTCCTGACTGTGATATGCAAAACAGAAATGCATTTGAGAACTGCAGTGGAAAAGTATTTAACCCGAGGTATAACTTCATGACACAGACTGATACTGCAAATTCATTTCTGAACTTTAATGTTGTATAATTTAAAATTGTTATGTATCTAATTTGTGTATATAACTTGTATATAGTGTAAATATTTGCTTCTTTAGTTATGTTATTTGTTCGTTTTAGAACCTTTTTTTTTTTGTATCGAATTACGCTTCTGACCAAGGGTTGTACTGCCCGGGACGTGCAGTCCTTGGGAGGGGGAAGTGTTACAAAATGTACAGGCGCGGTAAGATGGCTTCCCCGCGAGGCAGTTTTAGGGTTGGCATAAAATGGCAAAGGTAGACGGGGTTGCCATATTTGATGAATTCTTACCGGTTTAGTCCAGAATGTTCTCGAACACAAGCCGAAAACTATATAAAACCTGCTGGTCTGCAGTCAGTTAGTATATCGAGTTGGTGTCTCGTCTAGCGAGTCAATTCGTGCGGCGTCGATTGAGTTGACAGCCGGGCAGCGAGTGCCGAGTGGGTCCTCGAGTGCACCGAAAGCATCTCTTAGTGTATCACGGATAGTGCATCATTGAGAGAGCATGTTGAGCTATGGGAATGACTGAACCAAAGAGACGGGAGCTGTGCTCATGTGTCGTCAAGTGCATCACGAGTTGTAGCGTAGAGAGTCTCAAGAGTACGTGGAGTTCCAAGAACGACCAAGCAGAGTCGGGAGCTGTACTCCGGAAAGCAAAGTCGGCTGCTTTGCAGGAAGCTGTCTCCACTGTTATTGCCTGACAGTGTGAAGGCTGTGTTATAGTAGATCTCCGACGACTGTAAAAAGTGCTATTAGAGCTGTCCTGATTAACATTGGCCAAATAAAGTGTGTTTCGATACTTCAAGTGTCGTCGTTATTCACTCCAAATCCACAAATCCCGTACAAACGTGAACGAAGAAAATAATGCAACAACTGGTGGCAGAAAAGGAAAAAAAGTAACAATATTAACCCTCTGTCTTTCAAGGATAAATGATACATAAGTTTTTAAATGCATTCATAGAATTAAATGAAATATAGCACCCAAGAATTATTCTAACTGTTCCAAACATATCTGAGTAAATCAAGCAGCTGATTTTAATAAAGAGCGATTTCAATACTGCAAATAATGGTATCAACTTAATGCTAAAATTAAGTTGATATGAGTATTGAACATACAAGTATTTAGTAAGATAGCAACTAACAGTTAATGGTAACTAATAATTAATACCTAAATTATTAATTAAAAATTAATGCTAAAATTAAACTATTTATGAAATCTGGAAATTCATTTTTTATTTTTTATAAAAAAATTTCATTACATACCTGATGAAATTTTAAAATTTCACAAAGAATTTCTCTATCAACATTTGTTTCATATTGTTCGTGAACACTCTTTCAACTGTATTTGCAAGTTCGTAAAACTGTTGGCTGCTTATCCAATCTCCACCTTTCAATTCAATAGTTCCTCTCAGAGTTTACAGTTGCTGTTCCACTAAAACATTATTGTTTGTTACAATAATGCTTTTTACAACAAACCAGTTTCATCTGTATTATAAATATGCTTTTAGAAGTCTGGGTAAAAATCTTTTAACCGTTTCTCAGGCAAATTATGATCTGCCTCTTGTTTCTCACCATGTAGTTTCTGATAAACCATGCAATTTCTCGCTTTCCATCTTGTGAGCCATCCATCAGTTGGCTCAACATTTTCTCCTAGCATTTTATAGAAATTCTATAGCTTTTGTAATCAAAAGAGCTCTAGAAATTGGAAGATCTTTAAGTCTCACAGCTTGAAAACTAAGTGGTTTCAACATCTCTCGATTTTCTACATTTTTTGCACTTGAGACATATGCATTTTTTCTAATTTATTATCAATTCTATTTCATTGTTCAATTAAACTGCGGAATGCAGTTTGGGAAAGCCCCATATTAAGAGCTGCTTCTCTTTGGCTGCATTTACCAAACATATTATAATCTTTAAGTAATTTACATTTTTCTTTCAGGCTTAGGCATTTAGACATTTTTGACATGTTACAAGTCACACACAAACAGCAAATGAAAAATGTTTCTTCCAGTGATTTAGTTAAACCCGAAATTCCTGTTTCTTGCCAGCAGGAAAGACTGCCACTTTGACTGCCAAGTTGACCTGTCGCTTCATGGTTATTATAAGAGCAATCAATGCTTTCTTTTCTTTTTTTCTTTAATATACAATGACCACTCACCTTTTCCAATTCAAGACTTCCAATGTAATAATCACAAGACATATAATGTATGATATATCATGATCATAATCAAAAAATTGTTTCCAGTGTCTCTAGAGGATTGCTTTTGTTAGTCTCAAGTTAAAGTTATTCTGTTGCACTCAGCAAACAATGTTTGACAGAAACTAAGAAAGTGTATCTAATACCCCAGTGGTCTTGGTTCTAACTACACTGGTTGAAATTTCTGCTAAACCTGTTTTATTGAAGCACTGCATAACTGATAGATAAATGAATGAACTACAAACAGCTTTTATCAGCCATGGACAGTTTAATATTTGTTTCGGTTCTGGGAAATTTGAATGCAATAAGCAGCTGTGTTTATTAATCAATGAATATAATAGCTGCATTTTAAGATACCATAAAATGCAAGATCTTCTTAAAAAAAAAAAAAAAAAAAAAAAAAAAAAGGGGGAGGGGCTTATACTTCATAATAGTTGAATTTTGAATCCCCCTCTTTCTTCATGATCTCTTTAATTCTCTTTAGTCCCCTCTTTAATTCCTTTTGGAAGAGAGAGCAGGAGCACAATTTTAGAAAAAATTAGTTCAATTGGGAGTTTTTTGAATTCCAAAATTTAATATCCTTTTATTACAAATTATGCTAATCTCCAATTCTCTAATCTACAAACTCGAAATTACTTTTAGATGGAATAATCCCCTTTTAATTTTGATCTTTTCATTTTTTTATTCATGACAAGAATATCTGTTTCACAATGCTTCGAATATTGTTTTATTTTTATAACAATTTCTAAATTGCGAATTAATTTTTTTTTTTTTTCTTTTTTTCTTTTCTTTTTTTTCTTTTTTTTTTTTTTAAGAGGCAGAAGAAGCAGTTATTTCCATGAGGCAAAAACTGTTCTGTATTACTTATCCTCACTTCTATACTTATCCTCACTTCTAAATGGAGCTAAGGATACATAATGCAGAATAGCTTTCATTTTAAAGGGTTCAAATATGCACTATACATTCTCCAATAATCTATCTATGAGTACTAAACAATGACCGATTTTCTCATAATTTAATAAATTAATAAATAGAATAACTATGCATCATTTACACTGGATTAACAGATGCTGAACTAATTATTAAACACTAAGTCAAAATGAAAAATAATAATAATAAAAAGGGCTATTTTCTGATTTATCTGTACCCTACCCCTGAAACATATGTATGAGGCAACGTGGTATGCTCCCAAAATAAGCAACTCATGGTGTTGCTAAGATGTATTTAAGTGGTAATCCAAGTATGAGTGTGTGCAGCAGACAGAGGCAATGCAATATGTTGCCAAAATAGGCAACTCATGACGTTGCTAAAATGTATTTATGTAGTAACCCAAGTATGCATGCATGCAGTAGATGGGTACTGATTTCCACCTTCAAATTTGAATACCACTAGTTTTTGTTTTTGTTGTATTGAGTGCATTTTTTTTAATTGTGCAGAATCTTAATGGCACTGTAGAATTCACAAGCTGATAAAAAAAAAGAAAGTATTTCATTTCTTCAGAAATATAGCATTTTGCCCAACAGTAAGGCATACTAAAATAAGCAACTCATGATGTTGCTAAAATATATTTATGTAGTAACCCAGTCAGGGCTGTTCCTAGGCCATTGGCTGCCCATGTACATTCCCAAGATTGCCGTCCCAAAATTTAAAAAAAAAAAAAAAAAAAAAAAAAAAAAAAAAAAAAAAAAGCTCATACTCACTAAGTACTTAAATATGACAAATTATATAAAAAGTACTTATATATGACAAGCACTTACAATGAATATATAATATTAAGACATGCTATCACAAGAGTTCAGTCACCCCTGATTTTGGCTGCCCATGTACTTTTATGCACTACACTCCTGCTAGGAATGGCCCTGAACCCAGGTATGCATGCATGCAGTAGATGGGCATTAATTTCCACCTACAAATTTGAATACCATTAGTTTTTGTGTTTGTTGCATTGAGCATACTTTTTTTCCTTGTATGGAATCTTAATGGCATTGTGGAATTCATTAGCTGATGAAAAATTTGCAACAACATTCCATGAAGTTGTACTTCACAAATGATTGAATTTCATGGATCAAAATTTACGTGCGATGCAAAATTTGTGCAATTCTCCTCCAACATTTATTTGAGTGAAAACAGATTTCTGCATACACAGAGAGAACAACAGCAAGCACAATGCTAAATTTGTGTAACTTTTTTTTAAATGAATACAGATCACTGTATACATAATACAGCGGGGGAAAAAATTCATACATGTGCAGTGAAAAAAAATTATACTATTAAAAAGAATAAGTGTTTTATTATAAATGCTTCTTGATTTTAAAAATTTCATTGATCACAGCTTTTTATGAGAAACTTAGTACATCACCAATTTCAACAATTTCAAAATGGCTGTTGCCTTTCATGTACGAGGGATGCTTTTAAAGTAAGTACTGTTTGAAAATAAAAAAGAAATAAGTAGAATTTGCCAATCAATTTTATTTTGTAATGAAAGCCTAAACCTCAAACTATCTTTCTACATAATTTCTGCTAATATTAAGGTATTTATTGTACCATACAACTAGTCTTTGAATCTCCTCTTCATAGAAGTCTGCTGCCTACTTTGACACCCACTGCAACAAGTCATTTTGACCTCATCATCACCATAGTGGTGAAGACAGACAAGATGCTTCTTCGAATGCAGAACACATGGTAGTCATTGGGTGCTAGACTGGAAATGTATAGAGGGGGATCAAGTTGTTCCCAGTGAAATGATGGGATGAGACCAAGTTCATTTAGCCGCATGTGAAACAACATAGTCATGAAGCAAAACTATTCCTCTACTAAGCATACCACACCTTTTGCTCTGGATTGCACAGCACAGTTTGTTTAAGGTTTCACAATACATGGTAGAATTTGTTATGTCACTATGAGGCAAAAAATACATAAGCTACATCCCCTTCCTGTCATAAAACACAGTACACATGATTATCTGGACAGAAACTGTTAGCTTGAACTTCTCTCTAGGGTGATGATGAGTGCTGCCATTTCAGTTTGTGCTGTTTCATGGATTGCTGCTTTGGTTTTGGTACAGTGTAAGCCATCCAAGTTTTGATCACCTATGACAATTTGGCTTAAAGAATCATCACTTTTCTCCCTGTATGTCATCAGATAATGATGAAACTGTAAAGCATCTATTCTGTTTCACTCATTCATAAACTTTCTACACTAAATCTTCAGTATTGACAGAAGGTCACCTACTTTGTCCATCATCAGGCATATTCATGTGGCCAACTCTAAAATCGCTAACCCATTTCTGCTCCATTCCATCCCTCATAATGTTTTCTCCATACGCTTCACTAATTTGATTATAAATTTCAGCCACTTTCATGTCTTTAGCACTAAAAATGAATCACCAATCATATTTCACAGTTGAAAAGATTTTTAATCAAAGAGACATTTCAAATATTCAAAAACAAACATTAACATGGTCAAAAGTTTCTGTAATGGCACTTGTGGCTTGCCAAAAGATGTAGGTAATCAGTGTGAATGCATGGAATGCTGACCACAGCACTGGAATTTCAAAACAGTACTTACTTTAAAAACATGCCTCATATTAGCTTGTCAAAAAATATTAATCAGCAGCAAGTTGGCAAATTTTCAGACAGTGGTGCAGATAATCATAAAGTACAAAAACATTTTTTTTTTTTTTAATGTTAACAATTATTTGAATTATAATTTGTTTTCTTAGTACCCTTTCTGGAATCTCAGACTTTTAAACTCAATACTATTTCCTCAAGCAAAAGCAAATTAGAAGATTTGACTAAACTGAAATGAAATGATTTTACAATAATTTTCTTACAGTATTGGCAGTTATTATCTATAGTTTTATTATTTAACATACAAATTTAAAGTTTGGAAATAAGAAGATTAGTAATAATGCTTAGCACAGATGCTGCACAGCATTTCATATGTATTGCTTTATTTATTAGGTATAACTTCACCACACTTGTATATTACATTATGCTACATGTAAACATTTAACAGAAATGGAATATTAATTTAAAAAATTCTGAAGATTATTTAGGATTTAAATGCTACTAAACTCAATTTTAAAATAAAAGCTCATACCTTGACATAAGACAAGTCTTTCAAACAGAAACATTCAATTAATTGAATCATTCAACAATCAAAATTCCAGCAGCAGTTAATTAAAAAAAATCTAAAGATTATTAAATATGCAAGTGTTAAAACTAATTTTAAAATAAAAATGCATAATTACCGCGACACAAGACAGGTCTTTCCGACAGCAACATCACCAACAACAATTACTTTTGTCAATCGTACCCTGAAACACTGATTTTTTAACAAACATAACAGTATACAACATATAATAAATATATGATATTTTCTGTTACATGGGGACAATAAAAAACATAAAAATATTTTTTATTGAAACAGTATTAATAAATTTTAAATACATCATAAATGAAATACTGTTTAAATTTGAACAGGAGTCGTGAATTTAGAAATGTCTTGGAAAAAGTTTCATTTTTTAAATTATTTTTTTAACAATTATATTTTTTTAAGAACTCTAATAAGTCGAATTCAGGATGGCGGCGTGAGGTGCCATACTGGTATTCATTATACAATTTTGCACTGCCCCACATTCTTTCTGCTGTTTATATATGACATCCAGTATATGGATCTACAAAGTTGTATCTGTGGTTAACTGCAAGATCATATCCTGCTTCTTTCAAATTCTCTGTTTCATATTCTTTCCAGCAGTCAGAAAAAAATGAACTACCATCTGTGCCATTTTTTTCAATCATGCCAAGTAAAGTTGTAACAGTGATCTAGAATAGCTAGAAAAAAAACATTCTTTTGTGTCTCTATGCAGGACTCCAAAAACCCACTGTGGAGGAAGAACACATCCAATGCTATTCCTTCTTCTCATTTAATAAAAATAAATAAATAAATAAATAAATATAAAAAAAAACCTTTCTTCAGGTTTACTATTCTGTCATTTTTATTAATTTTAATTTCAGGTCTACATAACAAAGTATGGGTGCAAACCTCCCACATACAACCGTTTCAGTTGAAAATTGATATTGGTAAAAATGGTTATAGTATTATCAGAAATATACTAATACATTATGCTTCCTCATGGAAGAAAAAGAACAATTTCTTTTATTGTAAAAAGTTATATGTTACATATTTACATACAAATGTATTCTATATATCAACTATGTATTTATTTCAAAAGCCAATCAATAAACCTAGTTACAAATGGGTTTTTGTTTTTATTGTGGGAATTTTGTAGCAATTGCTTTGAGAAAGAATTTGAAGTATTGTTCCTTAAGCAATTTTGTGGCAAAATAACGCATTCCTGCAGAAATTTGTGATTCTTCAGACCTAGTTTAAGATTTGATACCTATTTTTTCTCAGCAAGATCTAAGGTTTGCAAGTCCATTTTGGTACATTGTAATTGGTAAAATATAACATCATTTCATGATTATTTTTACAAAATCTTCATCTAAACAGAATTCCTTTATCTTGCAGGAATTTCACTGCGTTCTCCTCATCTTATGGTAACTACCAGATTGTGAAATCCGTTTCCTTTTTTATATTTTCTTTAATAAGAATGCCTAGTCAAACTCATCTATCAAATTATATTTTGTGCAGTTCCTAACAAAGGTTGCACATGAATATTTGGTTCAATTTCACTTATAAAATCAAGATGTCTCAGCTCACATTGCTGCTATCTTTGGTACATAATTGATAAAACACATCTTTTCATGATTATTGTTGCAAAATCTTTGTCTATATCGAATTCCTTTATCCTGTAGGAATTTTACTCACACATTTTAGTACTGTTTTTTCGTGATGGCTTTATAATGGAAAAACAGCAACAATATTCTTAGCTTGTCTACTAGGTTTATCATAAATCCATGATGTTTTATTTCAGGATTATTTTGTTAGGTAGTAAAAATAGTGCAGATGACAGTCTTGTATATCAAGTTGTAGCTAATATAGTGTATTCAAATCATACTGAATTGCATGATTGTGTTTAATAGCTTTGCTTCAGATCTTGCATTCTATGTCTGTTCTATGTCTACATCACTGTTCTTCCCTATGGCCAATCTGTGAATGGTTTCAGGAGGATTCATGTGGACCAAACTGTTGAAATGAACCTCATCAAAGTACTCAGAACAAAGACAATAAAGAGATGATGATGTCATGATTTTTATTTTAAAATTATTTAAACCATTTCTAGGCCATCTTCGAAGCAACAGTAGCCCAAACATAGTTTAAAAAAAAGGTTCAGTAGCTTTTGCAGCTGAGGATTCCTTGCACTCATTTCTCTAAATTTGAAAACCACAGTTACACAACTCAGTATGATTTCGATTACAACATTATTAGCTACATTTGGGGATATAATTCTCTATCTGCAATACTTATTTATTACCCTAAAAAAATCCTACAATAAAATAGGGTACGCTTATGTATCAATCTAGTAAATTTGTAATTATTTAAATCATTTCATGATTTCAGGATCTGCCAATTTATAGGCATTGCTAAAAAGACATTTACAGTTTAACGAATTTATCTCTATTACAACGGTTTTAATCTATGAGAGCTTAATAATTATATTTTAATTCAAAATAAACTTACATTTCATGTTTATTACTGTTAATCTGATTGCAAACATTATACAACTGGAGAGGAATTTCTCTTTCTTTATATGGTGTACAGTTGTAATCATATGCCTGAAACATAAAATTTTATGAAATGAAAAATATATGAAAAATTAAATGCACTTAGATCTGAATGAAGCAAATTCACAAAAAAGGGCAAAGTAATTATTAAAATAGTAAATTAAAAAATCAACTACTTTATAAAATAAGCTCTTAATTAAGTTACATTTTATGCCCTTTATTTAGGGATTTTATTACATAAAAATTTTTTGGGGGGCAAATATAAAGCTGTGCAAGGAAATAAACAGAACAAAATAATAATATAAGACAATTAAAATCTGAAAGCTTTTCAGGTTTTATATTTCAAATGCACAAAGGGGTGTTTTTTTTTTTTTTTTTTTTTTTTCCACAGGAGATTCAAAACAGGATTTGAAAAGTGATAGAGACATTCAAAGGCATTAGACGAAGAATACCATTAGACATTGCAATGTCTTTGCATTGCTATGCTACCAAAATAATATTAGTAAGAAATGTTAAGAAACCTCGCACATAAAATGCCCGTGCTTGAAAATGCATGCAATGTTAATGTTAATAGAGAATGCTTTGAAATTGTTGAGTTTGTCAGTAAAAAAATTGTTACAGTTTTAGAAAATATGAAATAGTTAATAAAACAAATTCCAAATTTGGGCTTCTTGATGCCCATATCCGAGTGGAGAATTACATTATTCAAAATTTGATATCTCTAGGTACTGTTGTCTTTTCACAGTGCGAGAAACATACATACATTCATGCAGATTCTTCATTATTTAATTTCTTTAACTATAATGCAGGGCTCTGATACTTGGTAGCAATAATTTGAAAAGTGATTCAGACTTTTATAGAGAACCAAGATAAAATTCCAAATTGAAATTAATAAACTCTTCTGGACTAACACCCATCTGGGCTAATTCCAAAGTACGAGTTTTAAATATGTTGAAATTCCTAATGCACAACACTATGTCATGAATCTTTTATCCAAATCATGAATCTGTAGTCCAGCGATTCTTAAACGGTGGTATGCGTACCACGAGTTAGTACATTTGTAACTGTGAATTTATCCAACAATGCAATTATGAACGTACTGTTGGATAAATTCACAGTTAACTATGAATCAGTCATTCATCTATCACTGTGAATTTATACAAATCCTGCATTATGTAATTAAATAGTTATTTTCAGTTACAGTTATAAGTTACTATCAAATAAAACATGCAAACTCAAAGATAATTATAAATAAAGAATTTCATTAAGTTTTAAATAATTGTTTAAATTTGTCATAAGCACTTATATATACACTAACAACAATAAAAATCCGGATATTAAATGATGTATATTAAGATTTCAAACAAATACTCTTTATTTATTTTATTTTCAATATAAATTCATATAGCAAGCTACGTTTTTATTAATATGCAATACAATAAATAACAGATACACGCTCCAGAGAAAAATAACTGTTCACAAACACAGTACTAATACACAACTAGCATAATTCAATCTAAAAAAATAGTAAACATTCTCAATAAAATGCTTATGCTCAATAATGCAGAAACTTTTTAATGTCATATACCAAAGGCAACTTGTCTATGGTTCTTTGTTCAACAGTTTTGGGCAAGGCCATAACATGGAACGGTGGCTGTTCAAGAGTTCGCTCATTGTTATTTCGAAACATCTGTAGCTCAGACTCACATAAAAAATATTTTTCGGATTACTAAATTATTAGTCAAAGAAGCTGCAACTGATAACAGAGCTACAGCTTATGAAATCAGGAAATGGAGACAGCTGTTGAAACAGTAAATACATAAATTTGCAAACAGATCACAGATCAAAACAATCTTCAAAAGTTGTAACAAACAATCTGAATTCGAACAAAAGCGTCTGCTCTGTAACCATGGTCGCAACGCTGTAAACAATAATAAATTTTATAGATGGCGCTTTAGTATTATAGTACTTTCAATAGTATAATTTTGACGTTACTTTATAAAGAAAAAAAAAAAGGATAAATAGAATTATATAATATTGCATTGTATAAATATATTATTTAAGGACATTATTAAGTAAATAGTTGTATAGAATTTTATCGTTCTTTGAGTCATCGAAAGAGCATAATGAGTCAGCCTCACCATTTAAAGACCTCTGCTAACTCAAGCGGAAATGAAGGAAATGAACAGTTCTTTGTTTCACTACATGCTTGATAGGCATTTCCTGTGTTTAGTTTCGGTACTTTGAAGTGTATTCAAGTATGAGAGTTGTTCATCTGCTGTGTCAAAAATTTGATTAAACATTACACAATTATCTCCTTAAATGAGTAAAAAAAGGCATAAGCTATGGTAAACAATATTGTAATGTTTATCAGAGAAATGTTAAGATATGTATAGAAATGCATTTGAATGTCTCTTGAATTATCGACATACATCACAGTGACATGAATACATTTTGATCAAATAATTTCAGAATCACTTATTTCGTCTGTATCTTCCGTAAGGATTTATATAATGACAATGGCTGGAACTTCGCTGTTGATTAAGTCTTTATAATGTCACACATTTTGCCTTTGAAACATTGGTTTAACTGCATAGGGCGGCTCTTACTGGAATTTTACAATAAATTTGTTATAGAATTTTTTATAGATACGCGATAGTTTGAAAAAAAAATAATAATAAAATTAGCTGAATGATTACAGAGCTAGAAGCTACATATGTCGTGAATGCAAGTTCTATGCTCCGATTCCAATCTATATTAACTTTAGATGCTTTAAGTATATATATGTATTTATATTTAATATTTGCTTTCTTAAGTAAACACAGATCTGTTAAAAATCTGCCAGTATGTTGATTCAAGTAAACTGTAGTCTCAAGGCAGAACCAGCAATGAGAAGAGCATTAACTCTTCATAAATCTTTCTTAAAGATGAATCATATAAGCATGAAGTTAGTGATACCTAGTGCATGTCAGTTATAATAATTTCATAGTATGCAGTAAATTTTCTTATTAAGTAAATTAAGTAAATTTTCTTATTTTCCACTGAGGTCAGGGATTGAGAATACTTGCTTTAATTACTGTAGGGCACTGGTGATGTGTGCTTGAAAAATTCAGTATTTTAGCATTTCATTAAAAATTATCTAAATTCTCAGTTCTTGTTGATGCAGTTGTGTAAATCTTAAATAATTGCATAAATCCTGCATGAAGATGCTGGAATTCTTTGTTATGGAAAAAATGTGAAAACATGAAAATTTTGAATATTTTTTAATAGACATTTTTTTTTTTTTTTTTTTTTTTTTTTTTGATGCAGTAATGTTTTTGGCCTATTATTACAGAAATATGAACTTGTGACCCATAAATTTTATGTAGGCTCATTATTATATGGATTAGAGTACTCTACTCTTATCTGTCATGATAAAGCAGTTATACTTCTGTTTTTTCCACCACTGCTTGATTCTTTATAGCTGTAAATAAATAAATTGACATTTTTATATTGTTTTTTTCATTTTTGATTTCAAATGTTAATCCCTTGAGTGTCATGACTGGCTTGTCATGAGATTTTTTGTCACTTAGTATATATAAATTATAATATGAAATATTTAGGTTTAATTCTAGTGGTTAATTGTTATTTTTTAGATTAAACAAATAAGTGTCTTTCTTCAAGAATAAATTAGTAATCCATAATATTGATCATTAATTGAAAATTACACTTGCTAAAGAAATTAGGTAAAATCTAGATCTAACAACTATTCCAAAATCTTTCATGGTATGTTTTAAAATTGGGTATATATCTGTTCTAAATTTCAGCAGTTTGGGAATTTGTCTAGGTAGTTTTTTGTTGTAACATTGATGGCAAAAAAACAAAATTGTCATCATATTATAGAAATATGGCCTATAGTTATGAATAAGTAAAATAAAATCTTATCTTCAGTGTGGGTATTTATATTTAATTATTAGAAACCAAAATGTGTAGAGAATTAGTTAGAATGTTCAATACTTACAATGTAATGTTTACTTGTTAATTATTTTGTATATAAATTAAAAGATATTTTACTTTGTATCATCCCTTGTTTAATGTGTTTGTTTAAAGAGGTTGCAAAAATAAAATAAATACTGAAATTATTAATGGTAAATTAAATTTTCTATGTTCTTCAATATTCAAATGAATACTTAATATTTGCAAGATGAGTTGAAATTAATACATTTTTTTAAGCAGAACCTAAATCATATCTTTTATTTTCTGTTGATTTATCATACTTTTATTTATTTATATTTTTTCCCATATTATTTAGCATGGTGTCAGACTTTTTTTATCCTAACACTGGTGGAGTTGAAAGTCATATTTACCAGCTTTCCCAGTGTTTACTTAATAAAGGACACAAAGTAATAGTGATTACTCATGCATATGGAAATCGGAAAGGAATACGCTACCTAACTGGAGGTCTAAAGGTATATTTGTCTTTTGCATTAAAAACTGTTTATAGTTTGTGGAAGTTTTAGTAACTGTATGGTAATTTTCATTTGTCCCAATAACAAATATGACTAGTATTGTATGCCATATTTGTTATTGAACTTTGTTGAATTAATTAAAGTTTTGGAATGTTCTCAGATAAATTTTAAGGTATAATTACAGTGGCTCACAAAAGTGTTTGTACACTTACAAGTTACAGTGAAATATTGCTTCAGTGAATTTCATTAATAAAAATTAATGGCTGATCTTTGGAATATGGTAACTGGTAGTTTGGCAACATTTTGGAGGCGATAAAGGTTACTACCTAGGACTTTGGTAATAATGTGAGAAGTACTTAGTTCCGATTACGCATTATTTTGTGTGAGGGAAATGAGAGATCATGAGATATGTCATGTGACATTAATGGACGAATTACAGTACTTTAATCGGAAAAGGGGGGAATTTGGAAAACTGTCATTGTGTGTTGTGTGAAATAGTGGAAGTGTGCATGCCACGTAATGAAGATTCTGAAGATTAGGTAAGTTAGTATTTTTAATCATTTGAGGATATTATTTTTATGCATTGTTCTAAATGTAAGGAATAAATAAATTAATATGATATTATTGGAAAATTGTTATTAGCAATGATTTAGTTTAAAGTAATTAGGATTGTAATCTAATTTTTATGAATTTAATGTATGTGCTTATTTATATTTTAAGTAGTGTTTTTTAATTTAATTATATTTTAATTTAATGATCGTGATTTTGTGAGTTATATGTTTGTAGTATTTTGGAATACGTTGAGTATTTTCATGCATTTTCGTGAAATTTTTCTAATTTATGAGAAAAAAGCAGTGTACATGGGTATAGTGAAGAGTGTGCGCTATGCCATTTTTGTGCAATTCTAGGATTTTTTTTTAAGTAAAAATAAGTCGACGTGTACATGGTTTAGTGATATTTTAATTAAATGATAGTTATTTTGTGAATTTTATGTTTGTAGGAATTTGGTATACGTTTCAGTTGAAGTAAACGTGTATGGAATTAATTTAAATATTTGACACACTAAGTACCGTAATTTCGCACGTATAATCCGCACCATCGTATAGTACGCAGACACGATTTTATACGAGGGCTATCCAGAAAGTAGATTACGTTTTGGAATAAAAAAATAAACAAAGTATAGGAAACAAATTTTATTATATACAGATGAAAGCCACACTCAAATACTACTTTTCTACATAGTCACCATACAAATTAAGGCATTTATCGTAGCGATGTACGAGCTTGGAAATTCCTTCGTCGAAAAATTCGGCCACCTGCGCCTTCAACCACTTCGTTACCTCTTCTTGCAGCTGTGCGTCGTCATCAAAACGCTGCATAGCCAGCCACTTCTTCATTGCTGGGAATAGGTGGAAGTCGCTCGGTGCCAGGTCGGGACTGTACGGCGGATGAGGAAACAACTCCCACTTAAAAGATTCAAGAACTTTACGAGTGACATTTGCCGTGTGGGGCCGGGCGTTGTCGTGAATCAACAAGATCTTAGAGCTCAACATTCCTCTGCGCTTGTTTTGAATTGCTCTTCTGAGTTTTTGGAGAGTTTGGCAATACCTTTGAGAGTTTATTGTAGTGCCTCTTTCCAGGAAGTCCACCAAAATTACACCTTTTCTGTCCCAAAAAACAGTCGCCATCATCTTCCTTGCCGACATTGTTTGCATGCATTTCTTGGGTTTTTGGGGAGAACTTGTGTGCCCCCACTGCATTGATTGCAATTTCGTTTCACAGTTCACATGTTTCACCCCATGTTTCGTCACCAGTAACGATGCGATCGAGTAAAGAGTCACCATCCTTATGGTAAGCGTCCAAAAAGTTCAACGCTGCAGCCATTCGCTGATTTTTGTGGTCCTCTGTCAAGATTTTTGGAATCCATCTTGCACAAAACTTGTGGTAACCAAGCTTTTCGCTGATGATTTCGTGCAACAAACTTCGCGAAATTTGTGGAAAACTCAAAGAAAGTTCCGTTATTGTGAAATTTCGATTTTCACACGGACTTTAGCATCGACTTTTTCGAGAAGTTTCGGCGGTCACTATGCTGGGTCTCCCACTTCGATCTTCGTCGTGAACATTGGTTCGGCCATTTTGAAATCTTATGACCCACTGATGCGCACTCCACCTTCAGTGATAATGTTGTCCCCATACACTTCACGAAGCTGCCGATAGATTTCTATCGGTTTACAGTTTTTTGCAGTCAGAAACCTTATTACTGAGCGCACCTCGCAGCTCGCGGGATTTTCAATTAACGCAGACATTTCAAACCGTCACAGTATCTGAACGGAGCACAGCACGAACCTCTCACTAGCACGGCTAGATGCAGACTGAGCTGCGCAACGCTCTGACCCCAAGATGGCCGCGCTAGCCCCGCCCCTAGCGGACACAGACGGAAACGTAATCTACTTCCTGGATGGCCCTCGTATAAAAAAAAATTTTAAAATTGTCAGATAGTTCGCACCACCGGATAGTCCGCGGACTATACGTCCGAAATTATGTTTTTTTAATATGGCAATATTCCTATGCTTTTTAAACACATCCTTTTGTTTGCGCAAATTTCTCACCGCTTTCTTGTCCACTTCAAAATAACGGAGTAAAATCCTAGTATACGGTGCAGCCTTGGCGCGACTTTGAAAATTATCGCCAACACCAAAAATGATCTTGAAGAACGTCTATGTATATACTATACACCCATAGTATAGTATCACTATATACATAGGTATATACTATGTTTAACTATATATTTTCTTTGAATGACCTCGTTACTACTCATCGTATATGTCCCGTTTTTACTGCTTACTATCATAAAGTCGCCAAAAGTAGTCAAATCCCGTGTGCACCGGATACTAGGATTAAACCAATAACGGCCCACTTCTCTATTTCCATCTTTTTCAGTTTTCTCAACTACCTCTCAGCAGTAAATCTCCGGCGATGTTTCATCAACGTTACCGAAGATGAAAGACAAAATACGAAAACAAAATATTGTGCAACGTGCTATCCTCGTGATAAGTGGTAATGAAATGTGACCTTCGACCCCACTCACTTGGTGTTGCCAAACCACGCTATAAGTAAACGAATCACGCTTTTTTTTCGTACTCCAGGCAAAGAATCTCTCTTTGCTCCAGGTACTTGCTACTATGGCTCCTAAAAACCACAGCCAACTCTATAAGTATATACAGTCGGCTGTGCTAAAAACCGAGTTGACGCATCGACTACTTTTCCCCCTCCCGGCGGTTGTGCTAAAGCAGTGCGAAGGATACTTGGAATCTCACGCTTTTTTTATATTTTATTATCGGCAGTTTACGACAGCGTGTTTTTTAAATTTCAACAATTTTAACCGTGAACAACCAGCGTACTATCCGCACTGGTGGATAGTCCGCAGCTTCAAAAATTCGCATTTTAAACACAGATAGTCCGCGGACTATACGCGCGAAATTACGGTATTTGTAACCATTTGTAATGTTTGCGGTATGAATTTGTTGGTGACGTTTATAATATAATAGATAATTTAGAGGTAAAAGTTTTGGATATTTTTTTTTATCATGGAAATGTTCATCCTTAAATGGTATATTTTTCGCAATCAGGTAATTTCATATACAGTCAAAAGTCGTTAATTCGGACACCCATAATCCGGAATGATCTATAATCCGGACCTCAAAGCTACAAACTTTCTGTGCATGCGTCGCATTGACGCATGCGTAAGACCTTTACCGGCTGCGAATATGCTTGTGCGCGTGCACAAAATATGTTTACGAGTGCGCGTTTAAATGTACAATGGACAGTATAAGCTAAGCTAAAATCTATTATCTATTTCAGTTAATGTTGCAGATTGCGTTGTTCCTTAATCTTCAAATTGGATCCGGCTTATTATTTTTTGCAGACTATTAGAGCAATTTTATAAAAGTAAGCTTGAACTTTCGATTATGTGAAATAGAATTTCTAATATATATTTATTAATATGTAAAGGATCTACAAAGCGAAAGTATGTTTCGAAGTTCATTAAACAAAAAGTGGAATTGCTGCAAAAAATGGATAAAGGCATATCCTTTATTTATCTAAACTTTAACGTTTATTTTTATCTAAACTTTGTTTATCTTTAATGCCAGGGTGTGCAATGAATTGGAAGTTGATCTGTCAGCACTATCCTTATCTTCAGGGCAGATGTTTTTATTTTATTTGGCTTATAATTCCTTATTAAATGTAGTATTTCATCTCGATGTACTCCGTCTTTCATATGATTTAAATCAAATTCCTCGTTATTATAATTCGCTTCCGATAGCGAAGAAAGTGACAGAGGTTATTGAAAACGGAAAAATTTCGATTCATAAATTAGTCAGTCTAGACACAGCAATTACAGGACTTGAACAATGGAACTTTATAACTGAACAAGAAATTATGTCTGTTTATAGAATTAAAGAGAATGTATTATCACATAAAAAACGAAGCAACTTAAACAACTTACATTAAAAGAAATGTTTAATAAAGTAAACAAATAAATATTAAGCTTTTTTTTTTTTTTTTTTTTTTTTTTTTTTTATTTTGATAACCTTTAGATCATAATTGTTCTTTATTTCATAAATTACGGTTTCATATTTTTAATTTTATAATTTCTGCATGCCATCTTACCAGATTTAAACTGATGATCTATAATCCGGAAAAATCAATAATCCGGAATCGCCGAAGTCCCGACGAGTCCGGATTAACGACTTTTGACTGTATGTGTTTTTTACAGAGTTTAAAGATTCACAGAATTTTTTTTGCATTTTCGTGCAAATTTTTGTAATTTATGAAAAAATAGCAGTGTAGATGGATAAAGTTAAGTGTGCAATGCCATTTTTCTGCAATTCTGGGATGTTTTTTTAAGTAAAAATAAGTCGATGTGTAAATGGTTTATGTGTATGTGCTATTCTGAAAAACATGCAAGGAGTTTGCGATTGTGCACTTTTTCCCAATTT